AAGTAGGTACAATTGTACCTTTTTCCGACGTTTGATGACTTAAAGGTACAATAGGTACAGTCACTAGATTTTCGGCACAATCATTTTTTGATCAGATGCATTTTTAGTTCTTTTTCCTTTACCGTGCTAATATATTTACTTATAGGCACGGGAAAAGCTTCGCTTTCATTTTGATGAATAAACAATTATAAAGAAAAGGGTCAATAGGAAGAAATTAAAAAAGTTATATTATGTATTAAACATTAAACATTTTACATTGCATTTAGAGCAGCTACTACGAAAAATTAACCCTTTACTTAGCTTTTCTCAAATTCGTAGTTTTTTTCTATTAATTCAATGGCATTTGCGGTCAAATGAGCGAAAACATATTGTCAAATGGGTCTAATTGATTAATGGATTGATTTAGATCAGAATACTTATATTGAATATAGTAATATTAGTAGAAAAAACAGAAATGTTAGTTTTAAACACCATTTTGGCGTGCTTTATTAAAAATAATAAATAAGTTATTTTAAGTAACAAAAACTACACGTTGCAAGTCTAAATTTTAAACAATTTACAAAAACGAGGAAAATTCGAGTTTTTCGAGTAATAAAAATTTCGAGCTTTTTAATTCGGTTTCTTAGAAAATTTTTATACCCGAGCGCACTTGTGCACAAGGGTATTATAACTTTGTTCACATAACGGTTGTTTGTAACAGGCAAAACGAATCGAGATAGATATAGACAAATGTATACATAAATGATCAGAATGAAAAGAGAAATCGATTAAGCGGTGACTGTCTGTCCGTCCGTCCGTCCGTCCGTCTGATGCACACGATAACTCGAGTAATAATTGAGATATCTTAACGAAACTTGGTATCGTGACTTCCTTCCGCGTAGGACGGATGGTATTGAAAATGGGGAGAATCGGACAATAACCACGCCTACCTCCCATATAACGGTAATTTTCAGAAATACGAAAACTGCGATATTTTAGTAACTACTGAAGATAATTCACTCAAAATTGATATTTACAATAATTTTTAGACGAAAAATAAGAATATTATAAAATTTTGGAAAATGGGCGTAGCCACGCCCACTTATGGTTACATGTGTATATCTTGGTAACCGCTGCACCAATTTCTTCCAAACTTGGCACAGTTGTTAGTCTTACTACAGCATACAAAATGGCCAAAAAGTTTTAAAATCGGACAATAACCACGCCTACCTCCCATATAACGGTAATTTGGAGAAATACGAAATCTTAGATAAATCAATAAATATTAAAGCTAATTTACTCAAAATTGATGCTTGCAACAATTATTTACCAGGAAATACGTATATGATAAAGTTTTGGAAAATGGGCGTGGCACCGCCCACTTATGATCACATATATGTATATCGGTAACCATTCTACCAATTTGTACCAAACTTGGTATGGTTATTGTGCTTGCTACATAAAAGAAAACCGTTGAAAATTGTTGAAATCGGACTAAAATTAATTTCCATTTTTCATCCCTGGTACGAAGACGCTCAGCATTCGTGTACATATCGTCGGTATATGCAAACGAATTTTTGCGACGATGACAACCAAGGCGAACTTAATAAGGTGATGTTACCGGCGAATCTGAATTTTTTTCCGTGGAGAACAGTACGTCAAAACGATGTGTTTGTTGTAATTTATACTAATGACAGAGTATGAATTCTGCGTATAATTTGTTATTGTAATTTTTTACTTATATGCGGCTAACGCCAACTTATTAAATTCCCCATGATGACAACAAGGAAGTTTATGTTGCTTGCTTACACATACATAGAAAAATATTACCAAAGTACCTACTCGCTCGTTTCGTTGTTTATTTGAATTCTACGTGAAGCATTCACAATAGTTAAAATAAATGTTTCAACATTTAATTAAGTATGCCAATATTTTATAATCAATTTTAACATGTTTAAAGAAATATGGATCAACATTAGATTAAGTATGACAGTATGTTATATTAAACTTTAACATGTTGATATGACATTGGTACATACTGGTTTTGTTGATTAAATATTTTTTTACAAAATTCAACGTGTTTCATTTTAAATTACAAATTTTCCATACTGGTTTAGTTGATTAATTATGTATTTTATCAAATTCAATGTGTTTCATATTCAAACTCCAAGTTTCTCTTATTAAAATAGTGCATACTAAAATTGAATATGAACGTATTTATTTTTACAAGACGGCTTTTCTCTGGGTGTATTACTACACAGTTATTATTATAAGTAATTATATGTTTATTTATGATAAGAGTCAAATACTCTTCAACTTTATAATAATAACCTGCAATAGAAAGATCACCTTGTCTGAGGATACTCAATTCATTTTCTAGAACATATATGGGTCTTTTATCTGCGTACGTCTGCTCAAGTCTTGCGATAATTGCTTTAAAATTCAGAACGATGTTAAAGCATGACAACATCATATTGGCAGAACCAGTAATCCTATTTCTAAGGATACCTATAGCTACATAGTATCTTTCTGATCCTTCATTATAATACTTCATAGCAAAATTAGCAGCAGAGCGCCAAGCCGGGTAGGAAGATGCGTCACCACTAAACTCTGGTAAAGACTTAACTAAATCCAAACTACAATTTCCTGAATCAATTGTAGGATTTATTGCGACCGGCGTATAAACTTCTACACTTGGTATTTTTAATCGGCCAAGAGCCAAAGTAAGCGTATCAAGTTTAGCCGCTAATTCTTGCCTAGCATATTCGCTTGCCTCTATTTTCTCAGCTAATTCATGTATTATAACTTGCTATTGCTATGATTTCTAATACTTGCTCCCGCGATAAACTCATTTTATTAAATATTTTAAAAATAGGTAAATTACCTAAATTAATTAAATCACAATATCACGATTCGAGAAGGATATTTTCCTTTAAAAAAATGCTTTCAATAAAAAAAAACTCTTTAAAATGTTTGCGCAATACCATAAAAGTATTTGCAATCCTTGCGCAGGATATTAAAATTTTAAAAATTTTTTTAAAAAATATTTTTTCACAGGATATTAATTTTACTGATTTATAACAAAAACGTATCAATTTTGATTTTTACTTACAGTTTAAGTTAAGTATCAGCGGTAATAGATTTTAAAAACTTTCCTCCTTAGGAAACCGGATTTGATTGTTAAAATTTACTAAATCTGATGAAAAAGTTTTTATAGATTGAAAAAATTGATTGAAGATTCATATTTGCAAGATTCTTTTATAGCTTAAATTTTTTGGAGTTTAATATTGATTGTAAAAGAAATTGATTGAAGAATGCAAAGTATATTCTATTGGAGCTTAATATTGTTCGTAGAAAAATTCAATACTAATTGCAGAAATTGATTGCAGAATTCAAATTATATTTAATATTTAGCTTTAAATTATAGTACAGGGGTGGGCAAGGCCGAGACCGATAAGAGCCACATGTAAATTCCAAATGCTACAAAGAGCCACAAAAAAAAAACACAAAATTTTATTTTTCCAACAGCAAAATTACGGTGAAATGTCATATGTTCTCTCGCAAGAGAAAAATATCCAAAACAGTACGCGAACAGAAAATTTGCAGAAACTTGTAAGTTAGACGAACAGCTGATAGAAATTTTGTTTACATTCAGAAGTATAAAATTGAAAACGTTAGAAAACAAGTCCCGAAGTCTTATCCTGACACAGTCCACTGACTAAACTAATAATTACTTACTTCTTACAAGTTTAATTAGTCGCATTTTAATATTTTAACTTCCAAACCATCAAATTCAATTTAGGGATTTCCTTAAATTCCGGCCAGCTGTTTTTTGATCAGCTGTTTTCTTGGTGGCAAATTGCAGTTGGCAAAAAATTCCAGCAGAAACTAGCAGCTCTCCCTCAAAATTAAATGTCATTTTGCTCTCTCAATTTCCCCTACTTTGCAGTTTTTTTGCGTACGCGAACACAAAAAGCTGATAGTTTTTATAACTTTCCATAATTATCAGGTACGCGAATGCAACTAATTGTGAACGGTATTTTGACTGTACGAATTTCATTCTAGAGTACAGACTCACAGTTATACGTTGTACCAAAAATTGGAAATACACGGGACGCAGCTGTTTTCAACAGCGGATATTTTAAATTTGGTGCTTATTTCCGGAATTCAAGCAATACTAAAGCTTTATGTTGCATTTCCAGTGCCTTGCCTTCTTTTAATTCCAAAAACTCCAACTCATTTTCGCTTTTCTTAAAAAGGACTGTTTCGGATATTGTAAATTCATCCTCAATTATGTTACATAAAAAAGGGTTTATGAAGTATGCAAACGAACATTTAAATAATTTCAAATCGGCAAATCTTTTTTCAAAATCTGCTTTTAAATCATGTGCAATATTTTTTTTAGCAATGGAAAATGATGGAATTTCTTTTTTTGAGGTCATAAAAAAAGGCGTAGAGACTAATTCAAGTTTTGTTAATGTTCCATCATATCGGTAAAGAACATTAAGTCAGAAAGCCAAATTTCATTCTCCAATTGCGGGTAAGGTTTTTGTTATCTAATGGCCTTATATAAAGCTCAATAAAAATTGTGGAATATAATTGTTATAAGGCCATAAAATAACAAAAACAAATAACTTAAGGACGAGCACACCTAAAAGTTAAACATTCTAACAATAGAATTATTAACAAAAACCAACAACGACATGATCAAGCGTGAATTGCTGCGGAATAGCTGCGCTTGATTGTGTTGGCTTAACAAATGAAAAAGTGGGAAAAAAGCACCGATAATTTACAAGGCGAACTTAGCACAGTGCGTAGGCAACTGGCTGAGTCAGTGGGATCGTCGGTTCGAATCCTACTGAAAGAAGTCTGATGAGGAAATGTGGTGATTTCCGAAATAGCTATCACTTCTACCATTTTTTCAAATTNACATAATTGCTTTAGCGTGTGACATTGAAAAAAAAAACAACTAGTGAGATTTGCTCATATACAATAACGTATGAACTTTTTTAATATTGCAGATTCGAGGCTACGGATACATCAGGTGGTACTTGCAATGCTGGCGAAGAGTGTATTGGTGGTTATGCACGCACTGTCTACACTGTGAAACGGTTACTCGAAGAGCAGAAGGACCGAAACCCGGTTTACTTTAATGCGGGCGACAGTTTTCAAGGTACACTTTGGTACAATATTGGACGATGGAATGTAACAAGTCAGTTTCTGAACATGCTGCCCGCAGATGCGATGGTAATGAGATATTTATTTGTCTCAAACAAAATATTATAATTATATGAATATACCGCTAGACACTCGGCAACCATGAGTTCGATCATGGTATTGAAGGACTGGTGCCCTTCCTAGAAACTATCAATTCGCCCATGCTGGTGGCTAATATGGACGCAAGAGATGAGCCTGATATGCAGGGAAAATATCAAAGATCCATGATAATAGAGCGTAGTAATAGGAAAATCGGTGTTATAGGAATTATCCTCGAGACCACTTATGTAAGTAACATTAAAATTTCACTTTTAACTTGGCATATATTTTTTGGATTGCAATGCTAATTTTTCCGAATCAGGATTTAGCAAACACTGGTGACTTGATTTTTCTTAACGAAAGCGCTGCTATACGAGAGGAAGCTCAAAATTTGAAGGCCCAGGGTGCAAACATTATTATCGCTATCACTCACTGTGGCTATGATGTGGATAAGATAATTGCTGTAAACGCCGGTGACGAAGTTGATGTAATAGTGGGTGCACATTCGCATACTTTTCTCTATACAGGCGACACTCCACCTGGACCAGATACTCCTCGCGGTCCATATCCCACAGAGGTCATACACGAAAGTGGCCATCGTGTGTTAATCGTTCAAGCTGCAGCCTATGCCAAATATGTTGGCAATATAACGGTATTCTTTGATGATGCCGGTAACGTAGTAGACTACTCAGGTGCACCTATTTATATGGGGTCTGATGTCCCAGAAGGTAAGCATAAAGATTATTTTACTAATAAATACATACATATGTAGCATTGCTTCATTTTGGGGTCATGTACATACATACAAACCTATACAGTAGGGGCTCAAGTTATTAGAACGGTTTTGTTATAATTCCATTTTTCAACCTTTAATCAATAATACTGCTATCTTACCAAGCCAATCAAAGTTCAATTGCTAAAAATTTTTTTCTTAGCTTACTTCTCAAAAAAGGTCCATATACCAATTCTATAGGGCTAATACTTTCGAAGATAATTGCAATTTTAGAAAAAAATAATAATTTGTTAATTAATATATTTATTAACTTCAATTTTTTCAGCACATTGAACTTTGATGGACTTGGGCGAGCCTAAGATATTGACCAAAAATTGTCATCTTTCACACAGATTGTTTTTAGAGCACAATGAACCATATTTTTGCTATTACCAATCAAAATTGTAAAAAAGCGTATTTTCGGCGCACGCTTTTAAACATATTTGGATTACATTTACTTTATTTATTTAGCATATCTAGATTAGTAATACATTACTTTATTGAGAACTAATTAATTTTTTTGGGTTGCTTTTATGGGGGGGGGG